CAACTAAAATAAATCTGAAAAATAGAAATAACAAAATAAATCCTAAATGGAAATGAGACTAATATCATTTTGACCCTTGCATCACAAAAGCTGCAATCTGTTGGAGTTGTGATTCAGATAGTTTAATCCCAGAAACATTTTCGTTTTCGCTTCCTGCATTCTTGTATTCATTAACTTGATTCTACAAATCTTCAACCAAATTGTGTAACTAGTTAATTAAATCGTCTTGCATTTTTATAGTATCACCCAAATTTGAAATCCTCTTCTCCAGATCATCAGCACGTTTTGTCACCTGTTCTTCACATGCTTTAATTAATTCTTGTTCCATATAGCGATTTGAAAGTCCTCCTATCCCAAGACCTCGAGCGTATCCTCCTTTAAGTCGTCCTAACCCCTACCTAAAATGTTCTATGAGTGGAATAGGAGCTAAGGAAATCTCTTCAGCATTTTCCACTTCAACAATTTAAAGTTGTTCATATAAGAAAAAGAAAATAAATTATTATAAAAAAATAGCAAATTAATTTATAAAAATGATACAAATAATTACCAAAATTCTTTCCCCATCAAGAACTTTCCCTCAATCTAGAAAATACTCTAAACCCATAGATCGATTACCATCGAATTCTCTAAATTCAAAATCATAGAGTAAAAACAAAAGGGATGAACAAAAGGATCCTTATTTGGGAGCAGAAGTCGACACCAGAGAAAGCAATGTTGGTTTTAGAAAAAAAAAAAAGAATTATAAGGAGAGGTCAACTACAGGGAAGATTTGTCATTCAGGTGACCTAAAATCATTTTTTCTATAATGCATGACTTATTTTATTGTTAAATTGTTAAATGGTTGGCTGCAATCTTAAAAACTTGACGGAATATGTCTAGCATACCTGTTGTTGCTTAATCCTCTCTCGAACTTTATTAGCCTCTTTTTAGTTGATGTAGTTAGAATTAGGATTCAACTCGTTCTTTAGATATTAGTTAAGAGGATAAGTCTGGAAGATAATCTAATAGCGTTTAAATAGAATTGAAATATGCAAGTTAACATTTCTATTGGTCAAGGAGAAAAAAACACGCAATTTAACTTTTTTTTTTATCATAGTATTTGTGATAAATTTTAATTATTTAAATAGAAAAATCAAATAAATTGAACTTAAACAAAATCAAATTTTAAATTAAAATTTAATAATTTAAAATAAAAACATAAATATCCATTAGCTTTTTATTATCGATTTTT